TTTATGCACAATTTATCTAGATAAAGATGAAAGATAATATGTCCAAATTTATCTAGATAAAGATAATTGATAAAAAAAATTAAAAAATCTAGATAAAGATAAAAGATAATTTCTTTCTTATCTAGATAAACAAAAAAGATATTTTCAAAAAATATATATAATTAATTGCCTATATCTTCTTACACCGTATTATATGGATATCTGTTTGAAATAATTTAATGTTCATTGATGAATTGTGATTGCACTATGTATAAAAATAAATATATTTGTCACTTTTTTCATAATAAACACCTCAAATTTATATAGCCAAAGGTATTTAGGATTTATCACTTAGAAATAGTAGATTCTGAGTGAAGCAGAGAACGTTTTAATTTTACAATTAAGTGTTTTATATTTGTTTGTCTGTCATTGATTTTGACCAGTAGACTTTCTTCAACCGTCTAAAAGAGAATCAGCTTCTAATTTAATATTTTACCTAGTTGATGCATTCGGGGCATAATATTTTGAATTTCTCAAAAGTGTTCCAAATCATTGTGAAAAACAATTCAAAATCCCAGGAATATATGCGAGATACCAGTATTGATGAAATCAAAATTATTTTTTGTTGTAAAAAATGTTAATTGAAAGTACTTGTAACTGTGCTTCTACTGAAAGTTTACACTGAATTTTTTTTAAAGATTTTGACTATTTTCGAATAATTCATAATATTTTCAAAATGTCTATTTTTTTGATATTAACATATGAGGTCGATTATTATTAATAATATTAAGTTAATAAAAATTCGTTAATGTTTTTAAAATAATGTTTTTCATTTACATTCTTCTTTTTTTCATGGCATTTGAATCTAAATAGTTTTTGTCATTAAAAATTCATAAAACTCTCAATTTAAGTATTTGAGATTTAACAACCAATTGAAAAATTCTTCATAAATTGTTAATATTAACTAAATTAAAAAAAAAAAATCAGAAAAATTTTATTAGCGTTAGATAATTTAATTTTGACGAGATTGGAATATTCAATGAATTTCGTTCACCGAATATTAATACACAAATTTTAATTTAACCCTTTTAGTTATAAACTTGATTTAAATTAATGTTGTACACATATAATAATTTATAATAATTTGAACTGTTATTTCTAAAAATTAAATCAAAGTTCAATGGTTTTAATAGTTTTATTTTGAATTTAGTTCAATAAATCTGACAATGATAAATAAGATATAATTACTAATTTAGCAGTAAAAAAACAATCTATAGATATGGAGACGTATATCTTTTTGGATTAAGAATGTTTTTTTGAAATCAATGGTACATTGATGTCTAATTTTTAGATGTTATCTTATGTATCTTATCCAACGTCTATATTTTTTTAATTTCGTGTTAATGTTAATTTTAATCAAATAATCCTTATATAAATATTTTATTATTGATAAAGGATGAAATTTAAAAAATAAAATAAAAATTAGAAAATAAAACGGTATAAATTAGGTTAGGAAACTTAAGTTATAAAACCGAAGTCTAATCAATTTAAAAAAATAACTTACAAAAGTATATTTTTCAGGTAGTAAATTCAACAAGTAACTTGCGTACCGTTTTGGGGACGCAACTCGACCATATTATTTTTCTTACCTGCTATAAAATTCATGACCGAGATGCGTCCATAAATCTTATGTGTAACACATAATCAAGTATGTGTAAATTGTGTATATGGTATAATATCTGTGACTATCGATAAATTAATATTATCAGCTATTATAGTACTTCAGTGTAATAAAATGACGTACCATGACAATATCTAGTTGTCGCCAAACAATTTCAGAGCCGTATTTATAAAACTGAATACTTTGAAAAGCCAAGAGACTAGAGATTTCATTTGATATATAGGTATATCGTATACTATAATTGATCAGAATAACATAAAGTATTTTACACAGTGCTACACTATATATATATAATCTGTAAATAATTTGAATAGTTTTATTTATTTAAATGTAATTAATTACTTATAATACTTATATTATACTATGCTTATGACTTATTTGTGCTGGGACGCAACTTGGCTGTCTCAAAAGGTACTCTTGGACGCAAATAGGCTATGACCTTTTTTAAACCTTTTTTGGAGGGACGCAAATTACCTATTGATAATAATCTCGGACATAAGTAGTATGCACCGACAAAATTAAACTGATGAAATTCGATGAATTTTACGATCGGATTATTGGCTTACCGAGTGTAGATCAGAGTTAACGATTCGAAGTAAACGTAATTGTTGTAGAGCCGATTTTAACTCTCAGGACTCAGATGAAGAGGTATTTAATACCTACATAGACATTGTCATACACCGTTGTTAAGGCATCGGTGCCTTCTGTATCACGTTTCATAACATTTTCTGTTTCACAATCATTAACAAAGTCTAAAAGTTCAAACTTGCACGATCACGCGAGAAAATTGGAAATTTTTACGGACCCAATAACAGTCCTGCTACAGCCACGACTAATGAGGATACTTAGGTATATATTGGTGGTTAGGTTTAAGGTCAGGGTTAAGGTTTAAATATTAATAGCACTCAAAGTCTTAATGCAAGTAGTTGAGTTTTAGGCGATTATAAGTTCAGTTTAATCATAGAAGTAATATCAGTGTGTATACGTCAAATGCATAGAGAATATACTGTAAAACATTATAGATGCGCAATGTGTAGATAGGTATTTAATAGTATTTAAAATATAGTTGAAGAAAAGAATTTTACTATAGACACAAGTATATTAGTATTAGTATATAAAATTCGATTCACTTTTTTTTTTTTTGCTTATAATTTAATAATTTATCATAATATAAGATTTTTAAGCATAAGATATAATAATAAACGGATTTTAATTATTTGATTGTCTATATTAAAATTAACTTTATATATTTTATTATTTTATTAAAATACTCATTCATGGTTATTTTGTTTATTTTAAATTCTTAGATCAATAATTCTTTACAAAATACCTATCTAAATTAATTCACTTTCATTTTAATAATGATGGTTATTTAATAAATAAAATGGTTTATTGGAATTATTTTGATTTTTTACTATAATATTATAAAAAGCATAAATATAGGAACTTTTGAATGGAAATATAATTCATTATTATAAATTCTAAAAATATCGAGTAACATGAGTTTTTGCAAAGTCATTTTTCCTTTTTTTTTTATTTGAACTACACCTCAATCTCTACGTATTATTTCTACTTGCAAACTTTATGGAAGTGGATATTTCATACATATAAAAATGTTTTTTAAATAACTAATTTAAGTATTTTAAAAACTCATAAATATTACTTTAAATACTATCCAAAAACTTTATTGAAAAATTATTTTTATATTTACTTATATTGGTTTTATACCGTTTTATACTTTGTAGTATTTAAATATGATCGCTCAAATACCTTCACTATAGATTGTGCATAATGTGTATTCAAGCAGTAAAATAAATAAATAAATAAATAAATAAATTATATTATATTTATAAATAAATTACCACGTAAAAATATAAACAAGTTTTGTTGAAAAGCACAAAAAATGTCTTTACAAAATCACCGAATTCCTACATCAACATTTTTCATAATAAATTGACCGATACCAAAAATTAATTACCATCACATCCAGCAGTGTATCTAAGATATTAGGTTTGTAACAAATATAACAATTAATTAATAGCTGTAAAGCCTAATGATGAAGTTGTGATAATTTCTTCAGTTTACTAAACATTTTTTTTATACATTTATGAATCTTTTATGTTCATATTTCCAGTTAATTTTTAACTCGAATTCCACTCTGTCGGGTGAGTACTATAATTTTTGATTTGGAATTTATCATGTATTTTTGAACACCTATTGAAATTTATTATAAAACTATTATTTTTTGTTAATAATGAATGTAAAATTCATATTAAACTGCATTATATTTTATGATTATGATAAAAATATTTAGTTTAAAGTTTAATAAAAAAGTTTAACAAATAATTATTCAGAAATTTTAATTTTAACAAACAAAATTTTAACTGAAATGGTTATAAAATTAAAATCAATTATAAATATACATTGCGTTATCACTTTAAATTTGTATTTTTACAAAAATTTTGATATTTTTTATCAATATCTTTAAGGTGTATAATTTATTTATTTACCGGCATAAAGGAATATTTCGATAAATCAAGATATTTAGAAATATCTAAATATACCTTTTTATTATTTTATTTATCATTATTGTAAAATTAAACTGTCGGAAAAAATGATGGTGAGAAATAGAAAATAAAACCTAAAAATACTTTTCCTGGAGTCATTTTTGTGTACAAAGTTAAAGTTTAAAATTATCCACGAGGGTCCGATAAGTTAAAATTAGTGAATCCGTATTACTATACTACTGAGTATACAGTTATTTATTTTTATTTTGTAATAACTGAAAATGATTAATTTTTTTCTATTATAGCCATTAATAAAACACAATTTACAGTGTGTATATTAAGTATAATGAACAGGATGATTTGTATCATTATATCTTAATAAAGGTAAGGCCATAATAAATATTGGAACAAGGAAATCTTTAATCATAATTTTTACGGGGTGATTTATTTATATTTCTATGAAATATTTTAAACTCCTCTTTTCATAAGTACTATTTATTCTGAAATTATGGAATTATTAAGTATTTACTTTTACTTATAATTTTGTCAAATTAAAATACTAATGCACTTTTAACTCAAGATTTTAGGGTTAAGAATATTCGAGACATCTATAAAGTTATCTAGAGAGCATAATCATTTTTATTTTCGATAAACATTAATAAACACAAATCAACTATTATGATATATTCATACAGTTTTAAATTTGTTTACTGTTTTAATTTTATTTTAGAATGCATTAACGAAGAATTAAATTAAATTTTTCCAAAAAATCAATCGAAAATTAGAAAGGAAAAAAATAATTTCAGTTTGTAATCATTAATTTGAATTTACAGTGCCTCCGGATATTTTGGACTACCCGACTAGTACAGACATGGTGGTAAGGGAAGGTGGTAATGTTTCGATGCAATGTGCCGCTTCTGGATTTCCAACACCTAATATAACCTGGAGAAGGGAAGGTGGCAGCATGATTTCTGTTAGTCCTGAATTGAATGGTAAGTAGTATAATATAAAGTATTATGTATTCACTAAGTGCTAATTATATAATGATATCATATTGACAATATGATCAACGTAATGTCTATATTTAAAAAATATATTGTAACGATATTATACTTTACATATATTCGTGCGAATTCAATAACTTAGTATTTAATGATATTTTTCATCAGTGTAAATTAATTCAATATCATATTATATAATCATCATAATAGCTTCATTTGGTTTTTTAACCAAATAGTGTATTGATTTGTTCATTGTCAAACATAAATATCCAAAAAGTGATGTCAAGTTTGACACTTATATAACTTTTAAACACGAAAAAATGAAAATCTTCAATAAACGGTGTGTAACCGTATGGAATCTTTAATCTATATTATACATATAGCCTATTGTTTATGGTACATTTTCAAGGTCTAAATTTAAATTTGCATAAACCTTACCCTATCACAAAAGCATTTTGTTTTTTGCAAAAAATTTTTTGTTTGTATCATCTAGTAGATATATAATTATGGTAAACGTAATACGGGAGGGAGGGAAGAGTATTTAGATTTTTCTCCCGATATGACGATTTAAGCCAAAAATATATTTGAATTGTTCCAATATAACTGTAATCAAATAATATTATTTTTTAATGTCAACTATTATAACAATTCTACATAATGACATTTATGCTCGCATAAAAATATTATTACAAAAAGTTTATATATTTTTATTCGAAACAAAATGAAGTACACATAGACAAACTACTAGTGTGTATTGTAATTATGAATATCACTTTGTGTTTTTTAAGCTTATATAATAGCGTAACCCAAGTATTTTTCCATTTGTTCTTGCGTCTGAACAAAATTCTAGTTTAGGAAGTTAATCTGTCTATCGCATAATACGAGATACATAATGCTACTAATACCGAACGAGGTATAATTATAACTTTTTATTTTATTCAAATAAAAATTGGCAATTTATACGTTCATTAGCTAGACGGAATTATATAGTTCCCTTTAATGTTCGATGACCCGTAATAATCATTTAAAAATTCAGTGTGATATATTTTAGGTAGAGATAAATTTAAATAAACGGGTTAACAATATTTTTGAGTTGAATACTGTTAACTGTTTAAATATGCAATATAAATAAATATATATATATGCATTATGCAAAAAAAAAAATTGTTTTTATACATAATATTATGTATCTTTAGTACATTTTAGAAATACATGAACTTTATTTATTTTATATGCGTTCACACTTTGACCAATGAATTAGGTGTTCAAAAAAAAAACAAAATCTGTGCGATGAAAAGTTAGAGGTTGAAAAAATGTATGGTTTGAACATTTTGAGATGATTTTTTACATAAACCGGTCATATGTGTAAATAAATTACACTAAAAAATTTTAAGGATTTTTCAGAAAAATATTTGCTCCGTTTAACCATTTATGTGTGCATTTACTATTTTTGATCAGATCAGAATAAATAGAACTATAAAATATTAGCTCTGTAAATTATATTTTTCTAATTTAATGTCCATCTGAAAATAATTCATTAAAATAATATTCGAATAGGTGATAAGTCATAAAAGTTCCATTGGTAATAATTGTGTAGAAAATACACAGTGAATCACAAACATATTATTATATCATAATATATTATTCAGCCAAGTATCATATAAAAAATGAGCGTCTGCTGTACAATTTACAAACAATTTTATACATAATCCTGCAAAAACACATTACATGTTAGTAAATTTAAAAACTATCCGGTGCAAAATAAGCCACTAAATCAGAATTTTTAACAACAACTTAAGTAAGTCGATTGATTTATTATGTATATCTATTGGATCAAAAAATAAACATAGGCCGAAAATAAAAAAATTATAGAATAAATGAGAATGCGATGGGCCGTGGATAAAGTAGACAATGAAAGCAATGACTTGTTCTAAGTCATAACTCGGTAGAAAGAAATATAAAGGAATATTTAGCGAATTGAGGCGTTCAGTCGATGCCAATGACGGATCGAAGAGGGTACATAAATTATAAGTCACAAACACTGTTCTCCGCATGCACAGGTAACGATGAAACATATCAACAACCGAAAATGTTCTTTTAGTTAAATAGTTATGACGAGGTGTAGCTGATAATATAGATACGCTTGAAACGACAGTGAGAGGCGCGAGAGGTAGAACTCAAACGTCTACTATACAATTACCGGACAAAGACCGTGGCTTTTATTAAGCCAAAACGTTTTTCACGATTTACGTTCTCGTGTTGGTTTGCGCTTGACAGACTTCCGGAACGTCACCATCCCCGTATATACGGGTATCCTACCCCCTCCCCCTCAAATTTAATAAAAAAAAAAACGCTTACCTACACACGTGTGTTGTACAAAACAAAATAACGTTTTTTTCTTACACGCGTCTCCGTGGGTATCGTAATAATTCATACGAAAATAAAGACTACGGGAAATAATCTTGATGGCTATATAATATAATAGGACAAAAGTTTATAGTAGACCCAGCAAATACTACATTTTAGAGTTCACCGGGTTTTCAGCAAGTATATTTATTTTCATTCGGTTATCGCGATATACATTCAGTTGTAAGACATTATGCATACGTAATAATCCATTTATGCACATTTTATTAATTGTGATTCATTAAAAACTATTTAATTTTGAATTTTAATTATTGATTCTCAAATAATTAAAAAGAACTCAAAGTAATTGTATTTTTTTTTTTTTTTTTTTAATATCATGGGTATATCACGCGTTAATATGATTAATAAAAACAATCAGTTATTTTATAAAAATATCTGCTTCATATTTATTTTAAATGAATTAATAATAGATGAATAAATTATCTATAAACTAAAAAAGTAATAAGTGACTCTTTAAATTATATATTATGTAAATAAGACATAATTTATATATTTTTTTGGTTATACCTCATAGTATAATCAATTGTACTACTCCTTTATAAGCATATTTATTGTGAGGTTGAAGTGAACGAAATTAAGTCCAGCATATATACACATAAAGCACACAAATTTAAATATTTATCAAAATAATGCTAATAATACTACCTGTTACAAAAGGTGTTTTCAAAGAAATTTAAAAATTTATATAATCTAAGATTTTACAAGGAAGACACATTAAAAAAATAAATAGTTTTTTTAAGAATCAAATATTAACAAAACTGCAGCTACCGTCACATGATTATCGGATATTTATAACAATCTCTGGAAAGTATCAATATTTCAAACCATTGATTATAAATACTATATAATACTATTTATAATACTAGTATTTATAATCAATGCTCAAACTCGTGGTTTCAACAAGATGGTGCAACATGCCACAATGCACGTGAAACTATAAACTTACTGCGTGAAAAATTCCCAGGGTGAATTCTCACGAAAGGTGGTGACTAGAATTGGCTAGCACGATCCTGTAACCTGTGAAGTTTTTTTATGGGTGTTTATCAAGTCAGAAGTGTATGAAAACAAACTCAAAAATATAAACTGGCCCAAGCAAGAAATTCGTCAAATGATTGAAAGTCTAGATATGAAACTTTGCTGAAAAGTAATGGTAAACTTCACTGAAAGTGTACAAGCAGTAGGGGTGCTCATTTGTCGGATATTGTTTTTTATTCATAAATGGAAAGAAATGCTGATTCCGATGATATGTTTTTTTTTTTACTAAATTAATTATTTTTTTAAAAAAGTTATTTATGTTCTAAATCCTGCATTATTTTTGAACGACCCATTATAAGTATTATTATTCTAGGTATTCGAGTAGATAAAGATCTTTTGATAAATATCAATAAAAAACAGATATTTGATACTTTATAGAAATGTATAGCGATACTTGGACACAAGATACATGTTCAAGTTACTCGTATTATCAAAAGTACACTGTCCGATTCTGGCAGCACTAACTGCTAACGCATCTTATTATTGTTTTTCACGAGCTTGCGTCAAAATATACTTTTAAATCCAAGTACGTACGATCGTTATTATTTAACGGACACAAGAAGGCATGGGCGCACTCGAGTGTACACCCTCGCCTATTCGCGTGGCAGTTTAATGAGACAGTAGAAAACGCGTATTGTCGCGCAATTTCTGTAACGCCATATAACGAAGACGCGCACTACAGAGCGAGCTTATTAACGTTTCAAACGAGCAGGATTTGCACAACGTTCTATGAGTACACGTGAAGATGCCGCGATTACAACACAACAACAAATAGTAGTATTAATGATAATATGTAATGATAATAGTAATAATAAATAATAATCGCCAAGGTAACGACATCGTCTTAATACGTGATAATTGGGTTAGTATGGGTACCGGATGAGCACTGGAAACGGGACAGGTGAGCATGTATCGTACGATTATATTATAGCCTATAGCTACAGGTATTACGAATTCTCGGTGGTAAATACTATATGAAGTGTACAAGGAAATTATAGTTGACGAATAAAGTAATTGTTCATAAAATACGTAAACCGTTCGATGACGTCGACTTCATTAATACGCGCTATGTAATTACGTTTCTCGTTTTAAATGCCGTGTACCCATCCGAAAATAGTTTTTATGTATATATCCAGATTCAAAGCTTCGATTTTGAAAAATTTAACTTAAGATCTTTCATTTTAAACAAAGATTAATAATTCCGTGTGATTTTAAAATTAAATAAAATATTTTGCCTTATCCATTATATACAATACAAATAATACAAAATATTTAATTTGATTTATTTTTTCTAAAGAACTTTTAGATTTGATGAAGTATAATATTTTCTTAAAAATTCAGCTAGTATACTATATGTTATATAGTTACCATAGCTATATAAATATACGTATATATACAGTAGAATCCGCTTAGTTAGGACACATTGGGTGGTAACCCATTTTTCCCCATTATCTGACTGTCCCGATTAACTGAACAACTAATAAACCGAAACTATTGAAGTGCACACATAAACATACATAATAACTCTA